GTAAGTATTCAGTTATGTATGTATATGCATGTATGCATGCATGCATGCAATGCAAATATACGCAATGAGTGTTATAATATAAAGTGCGCTTAAATATTTTTATGTAATAAACATTGAAAATCTTTCAATTGTTCTAACAAGTTTCTCTCATAGTGTTTCATTATTTTAAATAAATTTATTATTCTAATTGATTTTATAATAAATCAATTTTTTCTATGTGCTCATTATATATTTTGTTTATTATTATTATTATTATTATTATTATTATTATTATTATTATTATTATTATTTTCTATAGAAATCGTGTGTAATGCAAGTGATGGTTAAATATTTTTGATTTATAAATTAGTTTTGAAAAAGGTGTAATTGATTTTTAAAATGACCTAGAAACTTTCTAACCATAAAATACACTTTACGAGTAATCGATAGATTTATTCAATTAAATTCAATAATTATTTTGCTATGACAAAATGATTATATATGATACGAAAACAAAAATTAATTATATAATATAATATAATTATAGTTAACACATATTTTTCGTTTGATCAATACTTTAGTACGTTTATTTAATTTTGCGAATAATTTGTTTATCATTTTAAATATAATATTATTATATGTGGACAATTGATTACATTTTTAATTGCATTACAACTTAACAATATTTTACTGTAAAATCGAATATTTTAGATCAAATTTAAATTTAATGCAAAGATTCAAACGATAAACAACAATTATAAATAAAACTATAATCTTCTTAATTTATATAAATTACGTGTCACGTTGTTTGTTCACAATGGATTCCTAAACTACTGAACCGATTTTAATAAAATTTTGCACACTGTATGCAGTTTCATTCAACTTGAAAAATAGGATAGTTTATATCTCAATTTATAATCGCAATATTATTTTATTGCGAATTATTTGTTTATTAACAAAGAGTCATGATTATCTCTGTTAGTTCGATAAGATTCTAACACAGATGAATTATAATAAATAAATAAATAAAATAAAATAAATAAATAAATATAATAAATATAATAATAAAACAACAATTATAAATTAATATAATTATTACTAATAATCTTATTGTGAAAATCTGTCATAATAATTAAGAATAATATAACTCGTGTAATAACCAAATTCAATTGTTATAAATAATTAAAAATAATCTCTTATATTTGTTTCGAATCAGCACCGAATTAATTTCTTTAAGTTTAATGCATTGATGTAATTCATAAAAAATAAGTGTTCGTTTCTTTTCTTTTTTACGAAAGATTCATTAACTATTTATTACGAAGTCGTCTCTCAATAACAAGGTATACTTGCTAACGATAAATTTGAGCTGTGAATATAAATTATGCAGGAGAATAACGTTACGAGCCACACGAGTTAACCCGTTCCTTGCACCATGCAATTGCATGTCTGCCCACGTAGAAAGTGGTGCAAAGCAACGGAGTTCTTCTTATCCAGAGGTATTAATGATTTCAAACAACAACTCTGCTTCAAGCATTATATATATATATATATAGTTATTTACAAGTATATCCGAGTATACTTTCGTAACTGAACTTTCATTTCAATTTCAATCCTTGAAATCTTTGAAATCTTTGAAGTTGAATTTGTCCAGAAAATCTTCATCTATCTATATTTTTATTATTTTTATATTTTTTTAACAATTACAAATAGAACAATTTTATATATGTGTAATTATTATTGAAAAATTTGGTTTGTGTGTGTGATGATTTTTGAAATTATATATATTTAGGATTGTGTATATATAAATAATTATAATAATATATATTTTTAATAATATATATAATATTATTAAATAAAATATATATTATATCATATATATATATATATATATATATATATATATATATATATATATATATATATATATCGAATTATTTTACTTATTTATTTTATTATTAATCGTCGTATTAATTTTTAGAAATTTTTCGATAATTGTTGTATCTCTTTTTCTTGTTTAACAANTGTGTGATGATTTTTGAAATTATATATATTTAGGATTGTGTATATATAAATAATTATAATAATATATATTTTTAATAATATATATAATATTATTATAATTATTATATTTATTATTATAATTAATTAATAATAATAATAATAAATTTTTGTTATATCCATAATTATATTTTATTCGAATTATTTTACTTATTTATTTTATTATTAATCGTCGTATTAATTTTTAGAAATTTTTCGATAATTGTTGTATCTCTTTTTCTTGTTTAACAAAAAAAAAAAAAAGAAGAATAATTAATTTAATTTATTCTTATCGATCTATTAAATCGGTACTTGTACATTTTCATCTTATTAAATTTTCATTCTTTCCAATTACACATTGAATTCAATATTCTTACTTCGTTATCTGAGAAAATATTTCTTTGAAAAATTGTTCTTTTTTCTTCCTTTTTGTTTTTTTATTTATCAAAATCTCTAATATGTTCTACCAAGGTTTTGAATAAAATTTTCTCGACAAATTTGAAGGAGAAAAAGTAATTACTGTTTCGTATAAATATATTCTACACACTTATATACATAGACGTATATATTACAAATCTCTTTGATAATCTGCTGCGTGCTGTTGGTGAAGCAAGGCAGCCAACACAACATACTTTGAAAAATCCGTCCCTGCCCTTTGACCCGGTTAAACCAAAATCTGTTACAGGATGCATCGACCTGCACGCGTTGCACACTACTCGAAAAGTAATTTGTAGACGTTAAAACCAAGTCACCGTGTCACGTTTCCTTTCCTTATTTTTTTTTCTTTTTCTTTTCTTTTTTACCTTTCCTTTCTACTCATTTTCTTATTTTTTTTTTCTAAGTTTTCCTTTTCGAAAATTAATAACGCGGATTTATTTGCAAGATTAAATCGCACGCTAAGTTTGAAATTTTTTTTTATTCTTCGTTTATCAACTCTTTTACTTGACGATAATAAATAATAATAATAATAATAATAATAATAATAATAATAATTATTATTATTATTTTTTGTATAAGATTAAATAATAATCTAGAAGAAAATTATTATTAATATTTATCACGTTATGATGATGTAAAGAAAATATAATCAAAGAAATTGAATCTCACGATTAGGATCTTAGAAGGAAGTCATAAATTTGCATACTTATGAATTCACTTTCGCGTACTTAATTTTCAACGTTTTAACAAATCAGACACAGACACAGATACACACACACATACACACAGACTGTCGTCCATCCAGGAAGATAATTTTCAATGCAACTATGAGCTCCAGTACTGAGACATCAAAATGATAGGTACGAGTGAACGTATCGTTTTCTTACGAGGAGACCTATTCTCGAATACACCCACCTACATACTCGTTGTTAACTAATACCTTTAGTCGTTGAAATCTAACAGAAAATGATTTATAACATTTTAATGATAAAACGTGTATCTCATCTTTGGAATAATACGCTATACGCCCCTTATTAAATGTCATTTATCTTATTTTGTTTGTGTTTGTTTGATTTGACTTTAAGAAAATATTCATAGAAAAGTGTCGAGAAAATGAGCTCATTTATAAAATTCAAAAATACAATATTTTCCTTATTCTCAAGTAAGATTAAGATAAATGATTCAGATAAAACACACACACACTCACATACACACATACATTTGTTCATGAGACATTTTGATGAGAATATTTTCCCTTTCCCAACAATTTCAGTTTAAAATAAATTAAAAGAAAAAAAGAGTCACCTTCATATTTCAACTCTCTTTTATTTTTATTATTAAAATATATCCAAGGACCACATTCAAAGGGCAAATAAAATACTTATATAAATATAATTCTATTTACTTATTAAAAATATATTTATAAAATAAAAAAAAGGTATACTTCTTTTAAGTACAATTTCTATTTAAGATGAAATTATAAAAGTCTACTGTTATTTAAACATAATATAATATTTTTCTTATTAATCTACATAAATAAACGTTTACAAATTGTTCAAATAAAATTCTTAAGGATACACCGTGTATATTTTGATAAGAAATGTTAATCAATAAAAATCTTATTTAGTTTCTATCAAATTTTCTCCTTTTGGGTGTTTTCGCAGTTAAGCACATGCAAAGAAGGGAATCTTCCTGCCCCTTCTGTTCTTATCGCGATGCATTTGCCAAGATCGATAGTGCATTAATGGAATACGGAAGTTGTTTCTAAATATAGGCCATAAGGTAGGGATGAAAACCGGTGCTTCATGAAATCGAGGAGATTTTGAGTGGTGAAACGAACGAACTTCTTACGTACGAACGTGAAAATACACGTGCAAGAAAGAAAGAAAGAGAAAGAGTGAAAGGGGTAGGAGAGGGAGGGGGGGAGAAAGTGGGATGCAGTGTGTGTGTGTGTGTG